TTAGAGAAAATTTTACAATAGATATGTGTGGCCCTGTTGCATTGTCTTTGTGGGGATCAGGGACTTTATATCTGTGAAACAACTTGTGTTTGGAAACTGAGAGTGACTATGACTCTCCTCTGTGGTTATGGAATTAGGTTTTTGGCTACCAGGTCTAAGGTTTCTCATGTTTTTAGATAAAGCAATATTTTAGTTGGCTGACTTTTAATTTTGTTCCTTAGAAATAATCATGTTCAGTTAAATGTATCTGAAGATCTCTGGAGTTTGAAATCTTCTGATTGCCACATGTTGTCTATGTTGTCTGTTAACATAATTGTTCCCACCTTTTCCTTACTAAGTTCTCCCATTTGACCTCAACAGTCTGGCATCTCATTCATACCCAATAGAGAGACTTACTCAGTAGTTTCATCTCCTCATGTCATTCCTAATGCACAGAAGACAGCCACTATAATTTTTTAAGAAGGCAGACAACCTTACAAATGTATTTCTGAATACTTTAGTGCAATGTCCTCTGGGACCTCATGGATAACGTAGTAGGAAGATATGTGTATGTTCAGACTGTACATGGTAAATCCACTTAAGCATTGTTATTTTTCTAAGCATCTGAATTTCTTCTACATTTTGCCAGCAAAGTTTGGGTATTTCATCTTCATTAAATGTAGACTCCTTTGGGACTTAAGTTTCAGTCAACAAGCAAACTATTAGAGGTACTTAGAGCTGTTAAGAAACATGTTATAGTTGGCCCTATCAAAACTCTTTTGATTAAATTCACTTCAAATTCATTTCCTTGCCTGTTCCCTAGGTTTTTGCTGATATAATTGATCAAAATTTTATAATTATCTTTGGATATAAGCCTTTTCTCAGTTAAGACCCTGTACTTACTTTCTTGAAGCATGCCTAGATTTGATTTTAGTGACAATAAGGAATGGTGGGGGTAGGTTTTGAGAATAAGCATCCCTTTTCAAGGCAATGGTTTCAAGTAAGCATTACTAGTTTTCAACAAGAGGAAGATAACTTTAGTCATGTCTCTGCTTACAAAAGAGGTTCAGAAGGACACCATGGATTCAAGATTGTAACCTTCATCTGAACTCATCTAGGTATCCCCATTCCATATTTTAGGATCCCACTCCTTTCAAAACTAGGCTGTAATTTTCACAAAAGAGATTTAGAAAGTGTATATATTCAGCTTTCACTAATTATGCAAGCTGCAAAATTAAGTTTTGTGTGTGATTCTCAGCAGGAACATACCTGTGGTTATAGGAAATAAGAAAGTGCTACTTCAGAAGTTCTGTAACTTTGTTATCATGGCTTGAACTGAAAGTTAACAACCCTAAGTGTGTCATTTTCTTCTCTTAAACTTTCCATTAGCATCAGAAGCAGCCAACTCATAGTCTTTATTGTCATTATTACTATCATAATGACCAAGTGAAATAGTCATTTGGTCCCCTTAGATACTTGTTTTAATAGGTATGTGATCATAATGAACTATAAGTGATAATTTAATTATTATACCAATGCATGACTTGGATCACTAGTATCTCATTTTCCATTGGCAAGGAGCTCAGCAGTGTATTGAAGGTCAAGGACATAATCAAACCAATTCCTGAATCCAGTTTCCTGTGATGCCTCCATTATCAAAAAACAAATGGGTATTTCAGCAATGTATTGGGAGTTTAATGTAGGATTGGTTACACAGGTGTGGAAGAGTGAAAAAATAAATTGAAGAAACTGAGGTATAGTAACTGCTTCAGGAAGTTATCACTCTTAGGTCTAAATCAAAAGGATTAACAGAACTTTGAAGCTCCGAGGAGCCCCTTAGACGCAAGTGAGGATCAGGCCGCTGTAGAATGCATGCATACTGTTTAGCTGTTCCTGGTGTCTGAAGAGATGTCAGGAAGTTGGTTATATGAATGCTGAAAAAAGCAGGAGACTGAAGGCTACAGTGTGGTACTGACAGAAATATATGTAAACAGGAGGAAGGAAGTCTTTCCTCCTGTCGTCACAAATAATCTCTCTTTGGTATCCCCTATATGCAGAATCTATTAGGGAAACATATGCCAAAATAAATAGAATTTTGGAGAATGCTAGCCCAGGCATCACAGAATAGACTATAGAAGAAAAAATTTGGGAATGCCAGGGTAGCTCAGTTGGTTGAACTTCGCGACTCTTGGTTTCAGCTTAGTCATGATCTCATGGTTTGGGAATTTGAGCCCCATGTTGGGCTTTACGCTGACAGCATGGAGCCTATTTTGGATTCTTTGTCTCCCTCTGGCTCTGTCCCTCCCCTGCTCACATTCTCTCTCAAAAATAAACATTAAAAAAAGTATTTAAAAGAAGAATGAATTTGGAGTTAAGAAAACAATCAGTGACCAGCCTATTAACTTTAGCTATTTTTCTGAGGTTCTGAGAAGTTGTGACAAAATGTAGAGATATTAAGTATCATTTCACACATTCTGTTCATAGATACTTAGGAACTCAATTTGAATTCCAATGGTTGTAGTATTTCCTGCTTTGGTCATTTCTTTTCCATGTCTTCCTTCTAAGATTACTTTGCTTGAGTTTAACAGCTGGGAGAGAATGTTGGGTTTTGTATTTGAATCAGTGATTTCTAGAGTATCTAAACCCTGAGGTCTAAGCTAGTCATTTTCACACTTTTTTGGCCATGACCTATGATGAAGAATGCTTGGAATCCAAAACACACATATGCAAATATCAGAATCAAAAATTTTAGGAACCAATACTTGGTCCTAACTGTTAAGTGCCACGTGCTGATAATTTGTTTCCTATCCTGTTCTTTAAAAGACTGATCACAACTCACTAAATCATTTTGTAATATAAATTTGGTAAACACTAATCAAAGCAATAGTGTGAAGTAAGTGTACATATTTTTTTCTGACTTCTATGAATAGTGCTTAATTGTGTGTTTTTGGTCATTCTTGTTGTTCCTGTTCAGGGTCCCAATCCATTGTTTTTCTCTAAATTTAGGGTGAGAAAAAGGATGTTTTAGAATAGAGTGTGTGAGCTTGTGGTTTTGGCAGTGGAGGAACATATATACATAATGTTGTTTCAATGGAAGCATTCCTTATATTCCCTTCTTCCCTATTCCTCCCAGAAATGGGGAAAAAAGTGACTATATTTGATAAATTAAGTGATTTGGTAAAAAACCAAATCATTTAATAATTATTCCTTTGCTCATTAGTTTGTTAAATATTTAAGTACCTTCTCTATAGATTCTTGAGCTCTGGGCAGATAATATGGCCATTAGAAAAACAAATAGGAACCTTGCCCTTGTGGAACTTATATTCTCTGGGGTCTTAAATGTCAGATGATTGATACAAATTATAATTGGTGGCAGTGAGGAATTAGAACCAGTCTGAGGTAGTGAAACATGCTCTGAGTTGAAAAACATTTAATCTGAGATATGATGTATGGAATATAATTAGCTAGAAGAAGGATGGAATATAGGGATGAGATGAGAAGAATATTCTTAGAAGGACTAGTCTCTGTTCCCCCATGAAATGGGAAGGATCAAGGTAAGAAAGAAGAAATGAAAGGCTGTTGTGGCTGTTAGATTAGAGAGAGGGAGATAGCTTAGTACAAGCTAAGGATGGGAAGGTAGATAGGATTTGAATCGGACAGGGACTTATATGCCTCTTTAACTCTGTGTAAAGAACAGAGGGGAGTACTGAATAAAAGTGATCTGAAGACATTTCTGTCTTTAATTTCATTCTAATGGTGATATGCAGGGTAGCGAGGGGTACATAGAGAGACATTAGGAGGCTTTTGCATCAGACCATACATGACGTGCTTGTGGCCTGCACTAGGGTGTCAGCTTCAGAGGGGAAAGGTGGATGATTTAACTAAAAGATATTTAGGAGGTAAAATTGAAAGGACTGGTTAGGTATGGTGGTTGAGAGAAAAGAAGGTGTCAAGGATAATACCAGGTGTTTCTGGCTTGGGTAGCTATTTTGAGGAACAATGGAAGGAGGATCAGGCTTGGGGAAACATTAAGGAGTTAAACTTTGGATAAATGGAGTTTGAGGTTTGAGATCTTAATAGACACCAGGCATTGTGCTAAGCTTTTAATTTGTTTACCTGATTTAATCCCTACAAATGTAATTAATTTTCTCATTTTACAAATAAGCTAACTATTAAGTTAGAGCAAAGATTTTATTTTTAAGACTTGAACATGTTTAAATGTTACTGAGAAGAATCCAGAGGAGAAGGAGATTTTGAAGATACTAGAAAGGAAAAACATAATCCATAATGTAAAGCTAGTAGAAGATGGTTTTAGATTTTGTATAGATAGAATGATGTCTCCTCTGTTTAAAAGAAAAAAGAGAGTACATATGCAGGTTAGTTTGTGGATTTGATGTCAAAAGGGTAAGGGAATTTCCTCTTGATGGCGTGCATCTGTTTTCTCTGCAAAGTAGGGAAAAAAGTCATCTTCTAAGATTGAGGAGTGTGGGACACCTGGGTGGCTCAGTTGTGTCTGACTCTTGGTTTTGGCTTAGGTTCTGATCTCACGGTTTGAGCCCCATGTCCGGCTCTGCTCTGGCAGCACAGAACCTGCCTGGGTTTCTCTCTCTCCCTCTCTGTGTCTCCCCAGCTCGTGCTGTCTCTGTCTCTCTCAAAATAAATAAACTTAAAAATTTTTTGAAAAAGACTGAGGAATGCATTAAGGAGAATGGAAATTTAAGGATGGTAAAGTTCTGAAATAGTTTTGTGGAAAGTAGAGTTAGTTTACTAACATTGTTAACAACATAATAAATGATTAAGTGCTGATTAAGTCCTAAATGATATGTATGATACTGTTAATAGACATAGAAAGGCAAGGATGGGAGGGAGAGTAATGTGGCCTTCAGTCACTAGAAAAGATTCTATGGAGGAAGTAAAGTGTAAGATAGGAAGACCAACACAAGCCAAGTATGGAAATGGATCCTTAGTGGTAATCTGTAATGATTTGGTTGATGATAATCCTTTTTATGTCAATATTTCAGTGACTATGGAGGTGAGGCCATACCAGGACCTGCATTTGATCCAACAAGTCACCCAACTTCAGCTCCCGCTCCCGCTTCTTCCTCAGCATTTCGACCTGTAATGCCATCTAGGCAAATTGTAGAAAGGCAACCTCGGATGCTGGACTTCAGGGTTGAGTACAGAGACAGAAATGTTGATGTGGTACTTGAAGACAGCTGTACTGTTGGTAAGGTTTTTCCTAACATAAAGCCTTCATAAATAATTTCTTAGGTAAATATTTCATTTATATTCTTTTCTTTTGAGTTGACTGCCGATAAGAAAGGAGAGACAGCAAATTGAGACTGATATTTTCCATACATATAATTATGCTGCATATTTTAAATAATGTGTTGATATTGAGGCAAATTTGAGAATAATTTTTTTGTCCCACTTATATGAAATGGTATAAGATGCTCTTCTAGCGCAGATGCAAATCAAACTGTAAGTATATTGTTAATCAAACTGTAAGTATATTGTGTATCGGACTCTATAGCTGAAATTCATTCATTTTTAATGTTATGGTTAATGAGAAATCAGAAATAAAACATAATACCCTTCTCCCTGTCAGCTTTTCAAAGGAAACTTAAAGTGTATGCCTCCCATTGTTAGACAGATTTTACCAAATTTCTACAGAGAAACTGTGTTGAATTCGTGTTTGGTTCAGATTATTTGACCCATTAATGTAGTTTTGCTTAAAATCTAAATTCTAGATCTTTCTGAAATTTTGCCTTTGCTCTTTTTTAGGGAGATCTTTCCTAATTTTATTTAATTTTATTAATTGAGGTACACTACAGAGAAAAAGCTAAACTGTTGAAAGATTGATCATTCTCAAATACTAATTACATTGTTATTCCTGTACTTAAAGCCATTTAGAGACTTCCCATTGGTTTAGGATAAAATTAAAATCTTTTTACCATGGCCTGTAAAGTCCCTGCTTGATCAGGCCCCTGTTCCATTTCAAGTTTTCATCTGTTACCGCTTTTGTCCTTGTTCACCATGCCTAAGTTTTTATGGGCTTGTTTCAGTTCCTTGAATAGGTTATTAGTTCCTTTATATATATACCTCCTCCCCAGATGTCTTTTCTAGTCCATCTTTTTCTTCCCCTGCTCATTCCCATACCCCCAATATTCTCCTATACATTCCTTCCCAGTCTCCCACTCTCCCCAAATTGTGGTAAAAGAAAGCATATGATATATCTATTCTCTTAAATTTTTAAATGTACAATATAGTTTTGTTAACTATATGTACATTGTTGTATAGCAGATCTCTAGAACTTTTTCATCTTGTATAATTGAAACTTTGTATCCATTGAATGGCAACTCCCCATTTTCTCTTTCTGCTGGCCCCTGGCAACCATCATTCAACTTTCTGCTTAGATGAGTTTAAATACTTTAAATATATCCTATAAGTGGAATCCTACGGTGTTTGTCATTCTGTCTGGCTTATTTCACTTAGTATGATATATTCAGGTTTCATCTATGTTGTAGCAAATTACAGGATTTTCCTCTTTTTATAATGATGAAGTATATTCCATTGTGTGTATATTCTACATTTTCTTTATCCATTCACCCATCTATGAACATTTAGGTTGTTTTCACCTCTTGGATATTTGGAATAATGCTATAAGAGATTGCAAATATCTCTCAAGTTTTTGCTTTTAATTCTTTTGGATAAATACCCAAAAGTGTGATTGCTGGATCATGTATGGTTCTATTTTTAATTTTGAGGGGAATGTTCATATTTTTTAAATAATGGCTACACCGTTGTTCATAATGGCTACACCATTTTACACTCCCATAATGAACAAGCGTTGCAATTTCTCCATATCCTTGTCAACACTTGCTATTTTCTGTTTTGTTTTTGTTTTATAGTGGCCATCTTAACAGGTATGAAGAGATATCTCATTTGTGGTTTTGGTTGGGATTTCCATGGTGATTAGTGATGTTGAGCATCTTCTCATATACCTGTTGGTAATTTGTATGTTTTCTTTGGAGAAATGCATATTCAAGTCCTTGCCCATGATTAAATCAGGTTATTATTTGTTTGCTGTTGAATTGTAGGATTTCTTTATATATTTTGAATATTAACCCCTTCTCAGATATATGGTTTGGAGATATTTTCTCCAGTTCTGTAGGTTGCCATTTTATTCATTGATTCCTTGGCTGCACAGAAACTTTTTTGTTTAATCTAATCTCGATTGTCTATTTTTATTTTTGTGGTCTGTGCTTCTGTGTTATATCCATGAAATCATTGCCGAGACTAATGGTAATGAAGCTTTTGCTTTATATTTTCTTCTATGAGTTTTATAGTTTCAGATCTTATGTTTAAGTCTTTATTTTTTTTCAAAATTTTATTTAAATTCCAGATAGTTAACTTATAGTGTAATAATTTATTTCAGGGGTAGAATTTAGTGGTTCATCATTTACATAAATACTAAATGCTCAGCACAATGAGTGCCCTCCTTAATATTCATCACCCATTTAGCCCATGCCTGCCTCCCTCCCTATTTTGAGTTAGTTTTTTTTTTTTTTTAATATTTTTATTTATTTCTAGGAGAGAGAGAGAGAGACAGCGTGAGCAGGGGAGGGTCAGAGAGAGAGGGAGACACAGACTCTGAAATAGGCTCCAGGCTCTGAGCTGGCAGTCAGCACAGAGCCCGATGCGGGGCTCGAACCCACGAACCGCGAGATCAGGACCTAAGTGAAAGTTGGACACTTAACCGACTAAGCCACCCAGGCGCCCCCATTTGTTTCTTCTTTACTTTCTTTTAGCATTGTTTTGTAGTTTTCATTGTGCACAAGTCTTTTGCCTCCTTGGTTTTTATTCCTGTGTATTTTATTCGTTTTGATGCTATTGTAAATGAGATCGTTTTGTTAGTTTTCTTTTTAGATTATTTGTTGTTAGTGTATAGAAATATAACTAGTTTTTGTATGTAAATTTTGTATTCCTGCAACATTGTCAGATTTGTTTATTAGGTCTAACAGGTTTTTGTTTTTGTTTTTGTTTTTTAAATAATATCTTTAGGGTTTTCCACACATAAGATCATCTGGAAACATAGGTAATTTAATTCTCGCTTTCTGATTTGGAACCCTTTTATTTCTTCTTATTGCTTAATTACTCAGGCTAGGACTTCAGATACTATGTTGTATAGAAGTGGCAACAGTAGGCATTCTTGCATTGTTCATGATCTTTAGAGGAAAAAATTTTTAATTTTCACCATTCAGTATGATATTAGCTGTGGATGTTTCATATATGGCGTTTATTATGTTGCAGTAAATTTTTTTCTGTTTCTAGTTTGAGTATTTTCATTATGAAATGTTGGTGAATTTTGTAAATGCTTTTTCTGCATTTTTAAAGATGATCTTGTAATTTTTTTCCTTCATGCTATTAATATGATATTTATCACATTGATTTCTCTATATCGAACCATCCTTGTATCAGATGCATAATTCATTTGATTATGGTGCATGATCTTTCTAATGTGCTGTTGAATTTTGTTTTCTAATATTTTGTTGAAGATTTTTGCATCTGTATTCATCAGGGATATTGGGTAATAGTTTTTGTTCTTGCTCTTGTAGTGTGTTTGTCTGGCTTTGGCATCAGGGTAATGTCTTCATAAAATGAATTTGGAAGTGTTCTTTCTGCTTTTAGTTTTGGGACAAGTTTGAGAAAGAGTGACACTAATTTTTCTTTAGATGTTTGTTAGAATTCTCCAGTGAAACCATCTGGTGCTGAATTTTTCTTTGTTGGTTTTTGATTACTGATTTAAAAAAATTTTTTTTTCTTTTAATGTTTATTTTTGAGAAAGAGGGAGAGAGCAAGCAGGGGAGGGGCAGAGAGAGATGGAAACACAAAATCTGAAGCAGGCTCCAGGCTCTGAGCTGTCAGCACAGAGCCCATTGTGGAGCTTGAAACCGCAAGCTGTGAGATCATGACCTGAGCTGAAGTCGGATGCTTCACTGACTGAGCCACCCAGGTGCCCTGATTTTGATTTTTTTTTATTACTCTTTACTAGTTACTGATTTTTTTAAATTACTGATTACTCTTTATTAATTATTGATTTGTTTAGATCTCCTATTTCTTTATGATTCAGTCCTTGTAGGTTATATGTTTCTATGAATTCACTGATTTTACTAGGCTATCCCATTTGCTGGCATATAATAGTAGTCTCTATATTTACCTCTGCGATATCAGTTGTAATGTCTCCTTTTTCCTTTTTGGTTTTACTTGACTCTTTCTTTTTTTTTCTTAGTCTAGGGTAAAAGTTTGGTTTTTTTATTGATCTTTTCAAGCCTCAACTCTTAGTTTTACTGATTTTTTAAAAATTGTTTTTCTATTCTCTTTTCGTTTCTGCTCTAACCTTTATTATTTCCTCCCTTCTTTTAACTTTCGGCTTAGCTTGTTCCACTTTTTATAGTTATTTGAGGTATAAAATTAAGTTGTTTATTAGATCTTTCTTCTTTTTTAATGTAGGCATTTACTATCAACCTATCCTAGTACTGCTTTTCCTGCATCCCCAAAGTTTTGGTATGTTCTGTTTTTGTTTTCATTTGTTTCAAAATATTTTCTAAATTTTCTTATGATTTTTTTTCCTTGATCTTTTGGTTGTGCAGGCATAAGTTATTTAATTTCCATGTATCTGTGAATTTTCCAGGATAGATGACATGTTAGGTCACAAACAAGTCTTAACAGATATAAGAAGATTGAAGTCATGCCAAGAATGTTTTCCTGTCACAGTATAATGAAACTAAAACTCAGTAGCAGTTTTCCTTCTGCTTCTTTCTTCTTAAATTTATTAAGATTCATTTATAACCTAACATGTCATCTGCCCTGAAGAATGCTCCACTTGTACTTGGAATTTTGCTGCTGTTCAGTGTAATGTTTTGTATATGCCTGTTAGCTCCATTTGGTTTACAGTGTTAAAGCCCTATGTTTCTTTATTGACCTTCTGTGTAGAAATTTTATCCATTATTGAAATCCCCTACTATTAATGTGTGGTTGTTTATTTCTCCTCTCAGTTCTGTCATTGTTTCATATTATATTGGGTGCTTTGATGTTGAGTACATATGTGTATAGTTATTACATCTTCCTATATGTGAATTGACTCTTTTATCATATAATGTCCTATCTCTCTTGTGACAGTTTTTGAATTAAAGTCTTTTTAGTCTGATGTTAGTATGGCCACAA